AGAAATGTTTGCTATTGGTGGGATGGGAAAGTGAAATATAGCGAGAAATTATTATTTTTTTCCTAATTGATCGAGGAGGATTGGGACGTGAGGTTTAATCACGAAAAAGTAAATGAATCATGTGGTTGGTTGTTATTGGGGGATTTTTTTTTACACAAAAGGTATAAAAAAAACCGTTGTAGCTAAAAATAGGTAGTACAAATTTTTTTGTGTAAATCTACCCTGACACATCAGATTTATACAAAAATATGTAAACGGCGGTTGAAGATGCTCTAATATTACAAGATACAAACAAAACTCTGGATATTGAATAAAAAGAATAACTTCCATAGTTATAGTTATAGAAAAAATACCTATAAATATAAATGTAATGATATATAAATATTTGTTTTTCACCAAAAGAAAAAGAAGAAATAAATAAGTAATAATAATCTATACTGCAATCAATAAATCATCTATCAACCCAAGTGAACCAGATTTTATGTAATTGAGTGTACTTTAAATAAAAAAGAAATGATAAGTATATATAAGAATTATACATTAAACCATGAAAGATATAACTCAAAACTTTCAATGTGAGTTGTTTGAGAGAGGAAAGAGGGGGAGAGAGAGTTAAAGTAGGTTTTGATTTGCATCTTTTTGAATTGACCCAGTAAACATTCAATTTTTTAATTCTTATTATTTTCTATTGTAGGGAAACTTGTCACACTACTTTTGCACCACATTAGGGGCAAGTATAAATTTTTTATTCACCGATGAGTAGACAAATATTATCCATTTTAAAAAAAGGACATTGCACTAATCCCATATTCCCTTAAAAAATCTTTTCCCTACTACTAATATGAGATAAATGTAGCATATAATTGATTAATCTTGGTTAGAATGATTTGCAATTCCACAAGAGAACATGATTTAATAAAACAGAAAACAAAATGGGAGAAATGAACTAAAAATGATAATTTACTGCCAAACTAATGCATTTATTTCAAATATATATATATCTATATATATATATATATATATATATTTTAAATATCTATTCTACTAAAAATAGTTTTCTAGGAATTATTTCCTAATAATCCAAATTACTAGGATATAACTGTGTCACCCGAATTACCCATTTGTCCTTACAAGAGACTTAATAGTTAAACCTTCAACATTTTATTTTGAGATATATAACCATCAATTTTTTTAAAATAATGCAAAGTCCATAATTAGAAGATACTAAATTAAAGATAGGAAATGACATTAAGCTTTCAAAAAGATTATTCAGTCACTTTAATAAATATGAAAAATGTTACCACCAGGAATTGACAGTGGAAGTATATGTGTGAGAGTACCAATTAAAAAAAAATAAAATGTTATAACTTTAATTTTTTTAAATAATTCAAAGTCCATGATTTGAAGGTACTAAAGTAAAGATTGGAAATGACAATAAGTATTCAAAAAGATTATTAAGTCACTTTAATAAATATGAAAAATGTTACCAACATGCCATTGATCTAACGATACCATCATACCGGACTCCTACTTCTTAAAAGGAGATCAAAAGTTCGAACATCAGTGAAAACATATATATATATATATATATATATATATATATATATATGTGTGTGAGTATCAACTAAGAACAGAAAAAATGTCGCACTCTCAACAGTCGGACAACAGTCGGACAATTCTTATGTTGCATATGCAATTATGCACCCTATGAACACATAAATGAGTGAGCTGGAAGGGTGCCCTGTCCTCCCACACGCCAATCAAATACTACGTGTTCTAAGAACAAGGATCCCACTACTATGTGTTTAACAAAAGTTCAGAGGCATCATTTTGTCTCTCAATAAAGCACAGAGCCTGAAAAAGCAAAGTGCAACAATCCTCTCTATCTCTGTTCCTCCAACACTTTCTCTTCATTCCAATAAATGCTTTATATCCTTTGGATTTACATTTTCTCAAAAAGTTGCAAAATGAAGTCTTGATTGGCCCTCTGTGTCTCCACTCTCCTACTCATCCCTGTGGATGACAAATGGGCAAAGATTAGAACCATGGGCTGATGGCTAAGGTGGTAATCCATGTATTAGTCTTAGAGCCACCGTCCATCTTGGGCTTTCAGTGAATTATATGGTCAACCGTGCAGTCTCGACTGTAAATCTCTCGGTTTTTGAATTTATAAACCTCAGTTACAGGAACCATAAAATTCAAGTGCTGAATTTGCACAATCACAACAGTGACAATTGTGCATAAAACAGCTGTCACGGCTCATTCAGGGTTAAGTGATATGTCACAATAATTCCCCCCAACAATTAGAAAAATTAAGGGGGATTTGTTCCAACAATTTGAAAAAAAAAAATAATAAAGAATAAAGGGGGATTTGTTTCTGTCAACTTCTGATGATCTAGTGGGACTTGATAGTTTATAAATGATAAGTAGTCTAAAGTTTATTAGAAACCCATGTGCTATATGATGATAATGCCAATAGGTTAGTTTCCTTGGGGCCAACACCATCCATCTAACTCAGACCTGACTGCACTAGGGACAACTCATTCTTTGTGTTCAATGCACATGGTTTTGCATGTTTAATTAATGAACAGTTGAACACTACTCCTACCTCCCTCCCACTAACAAAATGACAAATATGCCCATATATCCCTATTGGCTTAGGACATGCATTGAGAGGTACTCACATTATTTGAAATGGAAAGAAAAGAATCAACAATGATCTAAATAGCCCTTGATCAAGAAGACTAGTGGAAAATTTGATGGTCATGAGTTTTGGAGGCAAGGAAGCTCTAATATTAGATGTTTCCATAACACACACACACACACACATATATATATTTATACATATCAATGTGAGTTCAAGGGTTATTAATGTACTTAAGCCTCTTCATTTCATGGGGAAAGGCAACATGTGAATACAGGATGGAAACCAAGAATGCATTTAAAGAAGTGATTATTCGAACATAAAAGCATGGGTGGCAAAATAAATAAATAAAATGCTTCTTTTCCGACAGAATCATATATATTCTGCACCATTTTATATTTCCATCCCTGTACCATTTCCTTTTCCTTTTCCTTTTCCCTTTGTTTTGTCCCTCACTTCCCATTACTTTATTCATCACTTAGATTACTTGCTTCAAAGTGTGTGCTAAGAATCTTGAGTCCCCTCAGACCATCAAAGTCACTTTTGACTTGGACAAAATGTATTTTAGTCCCTTCACAATTGATGTCAATGGCGGACACATGCTATTGTTGGGCGTGAATCACCTGTAGTGAGGTTTTCATCCGTTTCTTTCAGTATTTTTAAGTGGTTCATATCTGGCCACATCATTCTTCAGCTAACAAATACGGAGGCCGTGTTTGATTAATTATACCAACATTTATAAATAACATTTCATTACTATTTATAACTAATATCATAGTAGTCTAAAAAGTAATATTAACATTTATAAGAGGACAACATCACCACTTAAATAGTAAAAGTTGTTGATAGATAAATTAACAAAATAAATTATTTTCACCATCAAAATAAGGTATGCACATAATGTAGACTAAGTAATGTCACATATAAACGTAACTCAATTCAACATGTCAAATTAACAAAATAAACTATCTCCATCCTCAAAATAAGGTATGCACTTAATGCAGACTAAGTAATGTCACATATAAACGCAACTCAATTCAACATATGAGTTATGTTATTATTTGAAATTAAAGTATTTTAAAAACGCTTTAACATGTTAATTTAAGAAATTTAAATTAAAGTCACTTGGATTAACTTTAGATAACAAATAAAACATTTGATATTTCCAAAAATAATGAAAAAGGCTACTTTTTTTCCAAATATTAAAAAAACACACTTAAGTATAAATTATTTAACATATCTTTGAAATTTTTTTTAGAAAGTTTAATATTAATTGCCATACCCATCACTTTCACCATTAAAAAAAAAGTATTTACATAGTATTAAAAAACTAATAGTTACATATAAATTTAACTCAATTCAATATGGTGATGTTATATATACTTATATATATTTAGTATCTTAGTCTCAAAACGTTCTTGTATATATATATATATATATATATATATACACTTATATATTACCTAAGTGGTGATGTTCCCTTTTACAAATGGTGATGTTACTTTTTAAACTTTTATGATGTTAGTTATAAATGATAGTAAAATGTTATTTATAAATAATGATGTAATTGCCAGACGCAGACTTAGTGTCTGTTTGATGAAGAAATACGTTATCAAACCAAGGCCACAAGACAGTAAAGGACTACATGAATAATTACAGAAGGTGATTCACGCCCCTGTTGTTTAAGTGTGGAAAACTTTGTGTGTTTGGAGTATTAGAAAACCATGTTTGCCCTTTATTACATATGAAAGTACAATTACAATAGGATTCTCTCTTTCCTTTTCTGAGTAGGGCATTCAACAATCCCTGGAAAGTGGGAACTCAAACCAAAGATACATAAGCAACATGAATTTCCAAGAGTGAAATAGGAGAATAGTCATTTTGTACAAATTTTCCTCCCAACAATCTAGATAAAGCAATACCTTTTAAGAACTACCAGGTAAAAATTAACTAACATCTTCGTAAGGTTTTCGAGCACGCTCAGATCTATCACGTGTGAGCAATCATTTCCATCACCTACTGTACAAAATGGTGTTGTTACAACAGATACAAATAAAAGGGGTTTGGCCAAAGTGATCAAACAGAATCACCCCACAAACATATCTACATGTTGATTGTTTTGACATTGTAAAGCTCTTGAGCTTTTAAAATGTCACATTCTTGTGGGTGCCAATTGAAGCGAAGTGACATAAGGACAGGTAACTGGGGTTGGCTAGCAACAGACCAACTAAGAAGCACGAATTAAGTAGCCAACTGTTTAGGACATAATTAAACCAGTTACAAACCTTCAATGGATTGCGCAAAATTAAACATATCAGAAGTTAATGCTAGAATTGGCTATTAATTAAACAGATGGTAACAAGAAACCCAAGAACATAAATATCAATAACTGGCGGTGATGATATCCAATGGGGTCCGAATTGGAACCCGGTGAAAAGGAATCCGGCAATCAACATAGAGAAGAAACTACAACGGTAGTGATCAAGAAATTGAACACCAAAAAAGTAAACAAAAGAAACTTCCAACAATCAAATCTCACTTTTTTCACTGATTCAAGATACCAACCGGATTCTTCTTCGCCGGATAAGCCATTGTAAATCACTCTTCTCAACATCTAGAAGTTAAATGTCATATCAATTCCTCCTGGCCTTCTGAAGGGCATCTGATAAGCTCCAATATGTTAACCACCTCTCCCATGTCTGGCCGGTTTGATGGCACCTGCGACGTGCAGATTAAGCCCAACTTCATTACTGGAATTGCCTCCTCGGCAGGAAAATGCCCCTGAAGCTTCCCATCGACACATTCCTCCACCCTGCCTTCTTCCAGTGCTCCTCTGACATTGTCACAAAGCACCACCACATCATCCTCCATGTACTCAACCGGCCTCTTCCCCGTGACAACCTCCAGAACCAGAACCCCGAAACCATAAACATCACATTTCTCCGTTATCTTGACTGTGCGGCATGCAAATTCAGGTGCCATGTAACCGAGTGCACTTTGAATCTTGCTACTTAAAACATAACGATCTAGCATAGGCAACAGCCTCGCCAGGCCGAAATCTGCCACTTTAGGATCACCTGAGCTATCAATCAAGATATTGCTTGATTTAAGATTGTAGTGGATTATGTTCATTTGGTGCAAGTGAGCCAAACTTTTTGCTGTCCCAAGAATTATGTTAAACCTCTCATTCCATGAAAGGAAGTTTCCACCTGATCCTTCATGAAGATGCTTGTACAAACTTCCACCAGACACATATTCATATATAAGGAGCTGTAATGACTGAGTCCAATAATACCCTTCAAGTGCCACAAGATTATTGTGCCGCAGTTTCCCCAATTTCTTAACTTCCCGTTCAAAATCTTCTTGGGACTTGACAAGACTGGAGACAGTGAGCTTCTTGATGGCCACTGGACGCCCATCTCGAAGAACAGTCCGGTAGACAGCTCCGAATCCACCACGTCCAAGCTCACAATCCTTGTTTAACAGAGCATGTGCCCCTGTGCTGAAGTCAGGGTCGCCTGAGAACATGACAAGCTTGCCAGAATTAGCATCCGTAGTGGGAGAATGGCTGTAGTCATCATCACCTGACAATGTAAGAGCTGCTGCAGAACGAGATGTGGAAGACCGAACACGGAGGTTGAGGACAGTGATGGCAATGACGCCAATGACAATCACCGCAGCTGCACCAATTGCAACAAGGGCAGAAATGCTGAGGATAATTTTCTTGTGGCCAAGACTTTGAGGGATTGAGCCCGGAGTGGATTCAGTAGAGTTGGGATTGAGGACAATTGGTTTGGGAAGAACACCAGGGCAACTCCTATTGACTACGGCACCACAAAGAGATGGATTGCTAGAGACAGAGGAGGGAGAGATGGTGTTGAAAAAACCACCAGCAGGCAGTTCACCTTTGAGTTGGTTGTGGGAAATATTGAAGGAGAGGAGGTTGGGAAGATTTGCCAGCTGCTTTGGTAAGGCACCGGTGAGTTTGTTAAAAGACAAGTCCACATTTTGAAGGTAGGTGAGTTCTGCTAGGCCTGCGGGTATTGGGCCAGTTAGGTTGTTCCGTGACAGGACCCTGCAAAATTTAACAAAAATTAACAAAACTAAGTACGTTAGGAGGATAAAAGCCAGAAGCTTTCTAGGTTCTCAAAGCTAACTGTTCCGCTATATGAAATTTTCTGAAGAAGAAAAAAAGATCATTGGTAACAGAATGGTGATAGGTGACACCAAAAGTGAAACTCATCAAAATCACAGACGAGGAAAACATTGGAAACAAAGACTAAATCCACAAAAGTTCTTCCTTACTATCTTGAAATTCAATATAAGGTACTCACAATATAGACTGCAAAATTGAAAGTATTACAGCTGCTAAGTCAACAAAAAACCATAACAGCTAAGTGAAGACAATCATCACTGAATGTAGAAAGGTTACTAAAGTTAACAGGCCAAATGCAGTGGTTTTGAAAGAAAAATTAGAAGCAAAGGCTCAATTCAATTTTTCTCATAATTACTCATACCATAGCTCAGACCGACTAATGAACAGAAGTTATTGTGTTCATTCACATATTAACCACCCAAAAGAAAAGGGAGACTGAAAAAAGCATAAATCAAATAGACACGGAGGAAAGAGAACTTACAAGGTCGCCAGTGAAGAACAGCTCTTAATTGAAATTGGAATTATTCCTCCCAAGGAGTTCTTTTCTAGTCTCAGTTCCTTCAGAGAAGTAGCTCCTCCAATTTCCAATGGAATGCTTCCAGTCAGCTGATTTTCGCTCAAATCAAGAACATCCAAGGCCTTTAATTCTCTAATATTTGCTGGAATACCACCTACAAGCGAGTTTCTAGACAAATTTAAGAACTTCAAGCCACCAAAATCCCCAATAGCAGAGGGAATTTCACCAGTTAAACCATTGTGGGATAAGTCCAAGACCTGAAGCCCTCCATTCAAGCTGTTCTTTGAGGAAGAAAATAAACTGTCCATATCCCCACTCAATCTGTTCCCCGAAAGCAACACACTCTGTAAACCCAATTTAAACACCCAAGATGGAAGACTACCAGTTAATGAATTCCAACTAATATCTAGTACCTTCAACGATTGAAGCTTCTCAATTGAAGTAGAAACCTGGCCAGAAAAGTTGTTCTCTGAAAGATCCAGAGTCTCCAGTTTTCCCATTTCTCCAATCCATTCTGGTACCTCACCAGCAAATGAATTTTTCCCTAGATTTAGAACAGTACACAAGCCAAGTTTCTGGATTGTGTTTGGAAGACTCCCAGAAAAGGAATTCTCACTGAAATCAATCGACCTCAAAAGCAAACAACTTCCAATTCCATCTGGAATCTGACCTGAAAATTGATTCGTGCTCAAATCAATTGTTCTCAAGTTATTCATACCTTCAATACCTTTTGGAATCTCATCATCCAGCAAATTATCTGACAGATCAAGTGATCTAAGTGCATTCAAAGACCAGATCCCAGACGGTAACGAACCCACAAGTTGATTGGAGGAAAAGTTGATCGCAGCAAGTGTTGAGCAGGAGCTCAAACTATCCGGAATTTGGCCCGAAAATTTGTTGTTGGCCAAGGAAATCGATCTTAAAGACCCACATTGTTGGAAATAGTCACCCGGGATTGGTCCCGAAAGGCTGTTCTCGCTCAAGTCAATAACTCGCAGGTTCTCCAGCCGAGCAAGACTCAGGCTAATGCTTCCAGTAAAATTGTTCTTCACCAGGGATAACTTGGTGAGAAATCTTAGTTGGAGCAGGCCACGGCCAATCCTTCCCGAAAGGGCGAACCCGTCGAGGACAAGCTCCGAGACCCTGTTGGATCTAGGGTTGCATTTTACCCCAACCCAGTTGCAGGGACTATCATCATCTTCATTCCAAGATACCAGTTTCCCATTTGGATCTCGTATATCGGCCTTGAATACAATCAACCCCAGAACATCATCGTTCAGAGATTGATTCATAGAAAGCACACAAATTGGGACAAATAGAAGCAAAGCGAATTGATTGAACAGCCTTTTCATCTCCATTCTGAATGAATGCAACGCAAATAAGACTTTTCTTATACTTCCATGGAAAAAAGTGTAAAACCCTTAGCGACCCTGAATATCAGCTACAAGCCTAGAGAGAAAGATGGGATGTTGTGACCATACTTCTCAAAAGAAAGTCAAGGCATTGGTTAATTATGCAACAAACACGACTTAAGAAGACAAACCCAGTTGAAAAATACAGCGGAACCGTAAGAAGAGACAAACAAACAACTTCCAAAGCAATTGAAATGACTGATCTTGGAACCTTTTTGAGCACTTCAAAAACTTCAAACAAAAGAAAGAGCCTTATCAGACGAATACGACGCACAGGAAAACCTAACTTCACCTCATACAACCGTTACATATATACATAAGTATATATCACCTTGTCTCTTAACGGCTAGAAATTTGCTTGCAAACGGCTTTGCTTGCAAACGTAATGTGAAGAGAAGTAAATGGAACACAACAAAAGAGCTGCACTAGCAACGAAAAACCCTAGAAAAAAAAAAAGGAACAACTTGGACAAAGTGCGAACCTTCAAAAGGTAAAGTTTAAAAACCCTAGAGATCTGTCCAAAAACAGCCGATTCGAACTGTGGGAGGTCTTACGAGTTTAAGAAACTGTCGAGAGAACGAACAGTGAAATAGTTCGATTTGAGAACCACAGAATGCGAGCTTAGTGTTCGAACAAATCGCCGGAAATGTCACCGGGAAACGAGAAAATGAAGCAATCTCCGGCAACGGCGGAGGGAGCTACGGTTGTATGGCGGAGCTACAAGAGAAGTCGCCGGGAAAAGCGAAGTCGGCCTCTGGGGATGAAGCTTCCGGCCGCCGCCGTCAGTCAGTGAGCATTTAAAGAGCCCTCTCTCTCACTCAACTCCCTCTCCCTATCTATTTCTCTCTCCCCCTGTCTGCCTAAGACAAAGTATTGCAATGTAATGACTCTTTATTAACGGCAAGAATGAGAACTTTGTGAGTCGTGGGCTCGTCAAAGAGATTTTGACACGTGTCACGATCAGATCGGTGAACGAGTCTGATGTGGCAACACGTAGTCCTTGTCAGTGTTGCTTTTGACGTGGATGGCATAAGTGGCGATGTCTAGTGCTTAGTGGTAGGCATGAATTCTGGAGTCACCCCCTTATTTGGATGAAATTAATATCATGCCACGGAACCAAAAAAAAAACTTTTAAACCAATAAAATGGGTTAGCCCAAATTCGTTATCGTGTAGGGCTCGGAAAAAATAAGATGTACCTAATTTTATTTGAGTAATCGTTTTTGAATTTGAATTTATATTTGTAACTTTTTAAGTCACAAGACTTACTAATGTATTAAAAAATAAACTCAAGAAATTTAAATTTTCAATATGTTACAAAAAATAAGAATATATAATGTAATGTGTTGTGCATTTTGAAATTTATAATTATTTTCTGATGAAGCTAGCGTTTTAGGTGTGTTTTATTTTGGTTAGGCATTGTGTGTGAATAAGGGCAAAATGCAAGGGCAAAATGAGTAGACCAATTGCGTGGATAGCGGGCATTGAATGGATAAAGAGGGAGAGGAAAGGTAATAAAGTTAGGTAGGTGGAGAACAGAGAGAGGTGGGTAGTGTAATAAAGTAAAGTATGTGTTGTGTGTGTGTGTGTGTGTGTGTGTGAGAGAGAGAGAGAGAGAGAGAGAGAGAGAGTAATAAGGAAGTGGGTATGAGAGAGAGAGAGTGTGTGTGTGTGTGAAAAGTGTGAACTGTAATGTGGTGCAGAGAGTGCAGAGATGGAGAGGCATGTACTGAAGTATTGCTATCAAAGCTTTTTCTCTCTTGAATTCCATTGATGTTTAAAGGGTCCCATACTCCCCTCCTACACCTTCTCCCTGCATTTACTACTTTACAGTCAACTGAAGTTCTAAGAATTTATTTGGTCAACCTTCAACCGAGTTTAAAAGGAATAAAGAATTTAAGTTTTGAAAATTTTGAGAACAGGTAATTATTTCAAATAATTAGAAAAAAAAAAAAAATTTTAAATGCGTACGCTTATAATTATGTTTTCGGAAGTAACTGGGCCTTCAACCAATCACAACAATTGTAAATTATTTTGATTCATGTATAATACAACTAAAAAAATTACCTACTTCTTAAAATTTCTCAATTATGCAAGCTTGCGGTGTAGATTTAATAATTTAAACTTTTACATTGTAAAACATTTACATAGTATTCAAAACCTATAAAGGATTTATGTGTTTTATGATTCTACACTTTGGGTTTTTTAAAAAAAAATTACTTTCTTCGTTTCAAAAAAAACGTTACTTTTAAATAATTGTAATTCTCATAAATTGAACTGACACGATTTTCATTAACGATACTTTTATTGAAACGGAAATAGTAAATAGTTACTCTTTAAAAACCCAATTGCACAAGAAAAATATAAAAATAAATACAATTGAACTAAAAAATTGAGAGTTAAAAAATTCAAATGGAGTACAAGTAGTGAAAAATCAAATGTGAACATCTATCACCTAATTTTGCATATGTTTTTTTTTTTCCCCCAAAATTTAATTTTTTATAATTTAGTCACGTTAAAAGTCTCGAGTGGTACCAATATTGCATTAATTACAGAAAAATCCAGGCATGCAGAGCGAATTTCTTATTAGATGTGCCTCGAAAAGTCAATTGTCCTGTTCCCTCGCTTTCTAACGGTAACGGAAAAGAATATAAGTGTGAAGTCCACCGCAACTCACAAGTGTGGAATCTAACGGCATATGGCTAACGACGAAGGACTTGTACCGTTAGGTCTTTTTTATTTTTTGTTCCTTTTCCAAGTAAATAAAGAATTCCCGAAGGTCAGTTATCTAAACTGAGTGCCACAGATAATAAATCCAGACAGTAAAAAGACAAATAGTTTTGTTTTATCATCGCGCACCATTTGATTGGACCTTTCTATCCCGTATCTCACAAACTTGATTTCTTAAATATATATTCATTTCTCTCACTAAACCTATACTTCTTATCATATATGTATACTTCAAATATATATATATATACACACACACACCACTAGAGTTTAGGGTTTTTTTCAAACTAAATCAAATAAATGATGCCTCTGTTTTTCCTTCTTTCTTTCTTTTTTCTTTTCTTTTAAATATATATACATATATATATAGATATATTTTTTATTTCTTTTTGGCTATGGGAGAAATAATACATATGATTCTTATACTTTAAAAGCTAAAAAGTTCAAAGTACACATTCAAATTCATATTAAATAATTTATTTGAAATTCATTATGAAAACTTCTGTTTATGAATGCCCAAAAAAAGGCAAATATATCATTTCTATTCGTCGTTAATGCCTTCATAATGTCTTTGATTTTTTTTTTTTTTTTTTTTTTTTTTTTTTTTTTTTTTTTTTTCTGGGTAGTTCCAGGTGCTATTAATACATGTGGCATATCTTTGTATAAAAGCAAGGTATATATGTGTGTGTGTGTGTGTGTATACTTAGCTGGAAATGCAATAGTGACAGAAGTGCAAGACTAGTACTGACAGATGAATATGATAATATAATAACAACAACAACACATGCATTATCGATGGTGATATATAAACACTCTTTTTGGAATAAACGGTAAAGAAGGCCAACAAGGTCTAGCTAGGCAGTGATGTACTGACAAAACTCTTCGGTCCAATTTTCACAAGATGCAAAAATACTCAAATTTATATAATATACGTAATTTGTAAGTAATTGCACGTGTTTAAAGTTTGCAAATCATCCGAAGGTTCAAAATAATTAACGAGTAAATTAATTTTTTAATTCCAAAATAATAATAATTTGATTCACAAACATGAACATTTCAGCACTCTATCACATGAGATGCATCATTTCTTCACTGCTTAGGTATGCAACAAATTATAAAAATCATTTCCACCAAACAATTAATGTATTATGAATATCAAAACATTTTATATGTATTTGATTATATATATTCCCTCTCATCTGAGGTCTATTCCTCCCAAAAAGTCTTTGAAATAAATTATAAACTCAGTAGTTGAAGCTAAAATTGTATAGAGAAAGCAATAATAGTCATAATTTTAAGTTATACTGTAATTTTCAATTTTTTGGGTTTGTCTTATTTGTAGACTTTTTATTTTTTATTTTATACTTTTCTTATCAAGAATTCAACAAACAGTTCAATTGTTTGAAAAATAGAGCTGCCCAAAGTCGCTGTTACGTGACAATGTAAACAAAGTTAAAAGTGGGCCTGATGTTTACGAGTCATTATGGGCCCCCGAAGCTTGCACCAGGCTCTAGCATGCTTACCCAATTCATTCTGAATGGGCCGAATTTTACTAGCCCATAAAACGAGAAAAGGTTTGTAACCGAAAGTTTATAGAACCAAACGGTCCACACACCAATAGAAAAATGGAATACCACAACAGTTTGCCACTCAAGTTCCCGACTTAAATCTCACTCGGGTCCTGGGGCTAGTACGATTGGGAGGGCATCTTAGTGAAGTTCTTCCAAATAGTATTTAGAAATTTTATTAAAACAAGAGTCTACAAATTTTTTTATTTTTATTTTTTGTAAATTTTTCATATTAACAAAATATAGATATATATAAATAAATTAAATTAAAATTTTCCATTGCGAGTCTAAAGAAAATATTTTATTTAAATTATTCTACCAAAAACCCAAAATATTTTATTACTCTATTACTTTACTTCCTTTCAACTTCTTCAAGGGAAATGTCTTGAGACATTCAAAAAATTATTAGTATTTTGTACTAATACAAAACTTGACTCTAAGCTTATGAAAAAGAAAACAAAGTGTAAACATGTGCAATGCTACTTGCATAGGATTTTGTTCTTTTCTTGTATCATTCTCAAAGAATGGGCCTAAAAATGTAAAGTGTGGTTGAAATTTAATATGCCAAAAAAAAAAAGCTTCAAATTATCAATGAAATGCCTAAGTTTGCCCTGCCAAGCAAGTATTTATGAATAATACTTGTTCTCAGTAGTAGTAAGGATCTATATCAGACTAAATGATGTGAATTAATAATAAATGAATACATTTTATTTTAATTCATCATTTCTAATTTGGTAAGTGAGTATCTTTCTTACTATATTTGATTTGATAATTAAAGATAACATACTCTTCATTTATTATTGATTCATCACATTAATAATGAGAATGGTATAGATCCTCACCAATTAAGACTAAAATATTATTAAATATTTAATTACAACAATATAATACCTAAAAATAGCATATGATCTACCTCTCAGATGCCATTCCTGCAAACACACGACTTTTCTCTTCTTTTCTCCCTTTTAGTTTCTCACCTAAAAAGGTGAGACTAATTACCAAGCACATGGGGGTGGATTTGTTACATGTGTTGGAATTTTGTGTAAATAATGAATAAAAGAGAATTTTAAAAATTTAAATTTAAGGAGAGACGTGACGAATAATAGAAAATAATTATAAAAAAAAAACTATGTAACCTACCTTTTTATTTGGGTTAAGCAGATATGATGTAAAAAAAAAAAAAATCCATGTGATCAACCCCTTCCATTTGGAATAAGAATAATACTTGGGTTCTCATGGATGATAATGAATTATTCTCTGATTTTTATAAGATTTGATAATTAAATAAAACATATTTATTTGTTATTGGTCCGCATCAGCGATAATGATGAAGTATATTCTCATCGGTAAGGACCTAAGTATTGTCATTTGGGATAAATGTAAAGATGATGATGTATGAAACAAGACTTGCCTACTCACCGGTGAGTAGGTCATCCCTACTGACCGCTAATATGGTTCAATTACAAATGTACAATTTTTTTTTTTTTTTTTCCTTCTTTTTTTGTAATTGAATCATATTAGCGGTCAGTAAGGATGACTTACTCACGGGTGAGTAAACAAGTCTT